ACGGGAGAGAATTGCAGAGGGGAGGAGGGAGGTTTGGGAAAGGGGCAAAGTGGGATCTGACGAGACATCAGGCGTGGTGTTCTCATAAAAGTTTGTGCCCCTCCTCCTTCGTGGTGTCCTGTGCAGGCAGAATGGTGAAGTCTGGCAGCGATGCCATCAAAAGGCACTTCACAGAGTTAGGTGTCACCGGTAACCCAGACAAAGGGAATAAGAAATGGAAGTGCCTTTACTGCGAGAGGGAAGTGACGGGAACTGCGTCGAGGCTTAGAAAACATTTTGCAGAGGGAAGATGGCACATTTCAAATGCGCGGGGGATATTCACGCAGGCAGAGAAGGAGAGGAGGTTGCAGGGGCGAGCAGAGGCCATTGCGTTGGTGAGGGGGGTAGGAGAGGTGCCAGGAGATGACACAGGCTCGCAGTCGGGCATCGGAGAAGCGGAGGACACTCCTGCGAATGAGACACCCATACCTACACCCACATCCACAGAACCGTCAACGTCCAGAACTCGACAGACTGTTTTGCAGGATGGGGTTCATATCGTCACCAAAAACGAGGAAACTCAAAGGACGATCGACAACTGGATGACGTACCATGGAATATCATTCAACATGGTACGAAGTCCATACTTCTTGGCCATGATCGATGCTGTGCATAATGCACACGCATCATTCAAAGTCGCAAGTTTTGAGGAGACACGCACTACAGGCGTGTCGATACAGCGTGGGAGGGTTGGTGTCGAGGTGGAAAGGCTGCAGGCGCGGGAATGGCCAACCACTGGATGCATGGTGCAAATGGATGGCTGGACTGATCGACGGCAAAGGCCACACGTAAATATTATGGTGTCCTACCCTGCCGGTGTCGTTTTTTGGAAGTTGGAGTGCTTAGTCAGAAGAGAGAAGGGGGCGGCGGCATATAATGCAATCTTATCAAAGGCGATCAGAGAGATTGGGGAGAAGTCTGTCGTTGGCGTCATAATGGACAATGCGCCGGTATGTGGAGCTGAGGGAGGATGGTGGAGGCGGAGTTCAAAGGTGTTTTCATTGTCCCCTGCACGGCTCACAGCGTTGATCTCATCTTGCACGATATCGGGAAAATCGCATGGGTCGATGCTGTTATGAAGAAGGTTGTGGCGGTTACAAAATTCTTTACGAACCATCAGAAGGTGCGGGATTTGTTCCAATGGCACTTGAATGGGAAGGAGCTTGCGAAACCGGGCGCCACAAGGTTCGCTACGAACTTCATCATGTTAACTGCATTGGAGAGGTTAAAGAAGGCACTGAAGGACACAATTCGTGACGACGCGTTCGTCGAGACAATAGTGCCCCACGCACAGCGCCCGCTATTGCGTGAGGCGCAGCAGTTGGTGTTTGATGAAGAAGGTTTTTGGAAGCCCATCGAAAAAGTCCAAGCTGCAGCTTTGGACTTTGTCTTGTTGCTGCGCTTCGTTGACGGTCCAGGCCCCACGATCAGCAAGGTATACGCCAGGATGGATCGTGCTGTAGAGAAGCTGCGAGAGAAAGAGTGTCTTTCGCAGGTGCAGAGGGAGGAGATTGAAGAAACAATCATGCGCAGGTGGAACACCATGACCAGCCCTTTGCATTGCGCAGCATTGTTTCTGGACACGGAGGACAGGGGAACTAACCCGCAGCTCGACAATGAAATTATGGCGGGGTTCTGGACGTGGGTGTACAGCTGGTGCGAAGAGAAGGATTGCCCGAAGGTGGAAGTCGAGCTCAACAACTGGATTGACAAGAAGGGAGCCTTTGGCACACTCAAAGCGTTCGATGCAGCAAGGGATGAGCAGTCGGGAAGATGGTGGAGGCGCTGGTGTTATGAGTTGCGTCTGCTGCAGCCGCAGGCTATCCGCTTGCTCGGGCAAGAGAGTTCCACATCAGGCTGCGAACGGAACTGGAGTCTCTTTGAAGCCATCCATTCGCGGCCTCGAAATTGCCTTGGTGCAGAGACACTGCAAACTCTGGTATTTAACCGCTAGAATATGCACCTGCTGAAAAACATTCATCAAATGCCACGGGAGCAAGACGACCGCATCGAATGGATGGAGACCCCGTCAGAGAAGGACGTGACAGCGGTCGCAAGGGAGCGGACAGACGAATGGAGGGGCAAGGTGGGGACGGGGGAGGACATGAACACGGTCGACAACGAATGGGAAGATGATGATGCCCCTTCAGCGCCTAGGAGAGAGGAATGCGGCAGTGATGAGGAAGTGCCCGAAGAGGAAGGCGACACCTGGAGGAAGGAGACCAGAGCAGCGAAGTTCCTCGCGGAGAAAATGTCTGCACAACTACCAACTCCAGCGATCATGAGTCACGAACATGCAGTGACTCATCGCAAGGATGCAGGGGGTCCTCCTTTGCCTGTGAACCCGGCTCCCAAACGACGGCGCGTCAGGCCCAGCAATGCTGAAAAGGCTGCAAGGGAGAAAGCTGCACAGGCCGCCCGTGAATCTCAAGGCAATGGAGGAGAAGGGGGCGGGGTGGGTGCAAAGGATGATGATTCCTCCTCGGAATACAGCAGTGATGAGAGCGCGCCTTTGGCGGTGAAACGCCAGAGGGGCAAAGAAACACACACGGAGAGAGAGAGAGAGAGAGAGAGAGAGAGAGAGAGAGAGAGAGAGAGAGAGAGAGAGAGAGAGAGAGAGAGAGAGAGAGAGAGAGA